ATACCCAAAGATTCTGTACAATCTTTGTTATACCTCAGCATGATAATACTTCGTCCATCATTAACTGAAGAGGACCTTTGACATCTAAGGAGTAAGGGACATTACAGACTTCAGCAAAGTAGGAAAAGTACAGGAAGTAATAATAGCATGCAGCTTGTAATGATCACAAATGCTAAAACGTACCATGGGCCTATAGATAGCACGAGTCAGAGGTTTTCCCTTTCCCTGAAGTGGTGTACTTACAGGACTGAACAAACGATTAGTTGGTGAAACATTCTTAGAAGGACTTTGCTTGTGAACTTCAAACATTCTTAGAAGGACTTTGCTTGTGAACTTCAGCGCTATTTCTATTGTCAAAGAATTGTCCACAGACAGAGCACCTGTGGTCTATTGGACCAGTGTCAATGTTAGGATTCACCTCAGCATTGTACCCCTGCTACAATAGGACAAGCGGGCGAACCCAGATTTCGGGGGTTTCCAGAAATCTTGACCTACACCAAAAGTGGGTATTGCCCTACCTATAGAAGACACTGAACAAGGGTCCAAAAACTTTACCTCCGATTTTCTCAAAACAGCATTTTTCGGGATAGCCCGCGTGTGCTTAAAAGCGACAAATTCAGCTTCTCCTTTGCCATGCTACCAAGAGAACACACACTGTGAACCAACCTATCTATCCCGACTACAGTACTCCATGAGTACCTAAAAAGATCACAGAACGATTTGAACAGAATTTTCCAACAAAAACAAAGAAGTCAGGAGTTATCACCTTATTACCAGGCCAAAAGAATATAATGCATTCTGGGAACTGGCACAATGAAAATAGGGAAATATTGCTAGAAATAATAATAATTCTTCACCTTTGTCCACAGATACAGAGTTGATTCAGAGATGATAAATTTAAAATTTCGTCATCCAGAATGAGGTGAGGCTAAATGAACAAACAAAAAAAACCAAAAAACCAATAAAACCAAAAAACCCAAATCATAACATAATATCCTTCCCATCTGAGAACGAGAAGGGTTGAGAGAACAGTATTCTCTTCTCTCTATCACAACACGTCAGGTCTCCAACAAAGGCACATAATTCAAAAGTCTCAACTAAAGAATACCAATTGGGAACAATTTAGTAGATAAAACTCAAAGTAAGTGAACTCTTGATGGCCCTGTGATGGTAAAAGCAAGGAATATAATTCAACTTTTCAGATGTCTCAATCAGTGACTAAATCGAACACACCAGTTACAATGCTGAGAAATCTTAGTAGTAATACAAATACATTACATGCATCTGGCTACAAAATGTGAGGCATCGTGGTGAAATCAGGCACTCGTCAAAATAACTAAATCGAAGAAGAGCAGTTTTGTTTTTTTGGCTCAACAACTTTTATGTCCATTTAGAAACAAATGCCTGTGAGGATTTTAACCGAAAAACGTTGATTAAACACAAAAATATAAATTTACAGTTTTCATGGACTCTCCAGCTTTAAAAGTTATCAAGCTTTGATGGTCAATTTTTCGCTAATTTTACCTCTGAAACCAGGTCATCCCCTCCCCCTTCAATCCAAAAATATCTCCACTTCTATTGAAGACAGATGGATAATTTTTCCGCTGAAAGTGAGACAAACAAGCTTTAAGATGATAGTAATAACTCAGTATGCTCAAAAATTGACAAGCGCCTGATTCCACCACATCATGACAAAATACATTTTTCAAGGTCTTAAATCCAAAGCAAGTGACATAAGAAAACCACAAATTAAGAGTGCAAATAAGTCTACGAATACACTTTACTGAGGTTCTACTATACAGTATTTCCAAAGTACCAAAAATGAAATCTCTTTATATCAGGGAAAAAAGAGAAATCCTGTAGCAAGATACCTGCCAAATAATTTAAACAAAAAACCCCCCCAAAAAATTATGGCTTCAAGAGTTGTATACGGCAAGCAAACAAATTGTGAGCAAGATCGAAATAAACTCAGAATTTGTTTTTTTTCGTTTGAGAAACAAAACAACCTGTACGTAAATTACTATTCACAAATGAAAGCATATTGCATTAAATTATCATGCCGGTTTCACCACAGTGAGGAGAAAAGGCTTGGTCCATCATATGTAGGTTTATAATTGTTATAACTACTACCGAGACGAAGTCATGCCACGAACGCGTATTTTAATCAAAATACTCATATTCGCATATTTTCGGTTGCAGCCCGTATGTTGTTGTTTAAAAATCCCTTTAGCTGCGAGCATTTCGCTCTTGAAAGCGCAATGCCTCCCTTATGTAACCACATGCGCAGCGCATATAAAAATATGTGAAATCATACTGGTTAGAAAATCAGAATAACTCAGCCTGGCCTGACTCACGTCTGTGCTCCTCCTCCGTAACAATTTGACCAACAGTCCTACACAGTCATTGACCTCTCCCGAAAGCAGCTTCTGTGACATAAGGGTTAACCCCTTCGTGATCTTTATGAAGAACGCCGTTCGTCATTATTTTTTAAACGTCTAACCAGCCAAGATGCTGCTGAGACCTATGGCGCTCGTGTTCTGCACACTGCTTTCATTAGATGCATTTCGTAAAATTAATCACAGATTCGCATTCAGAAATATTTACTCAATAGAAAGAAAATGTTTCCTTATAGTCTTAGATTATAGGAAACTGACCACTAAATCTAGTATTGCTCTGAGTCCCTGGGGTCCCAAAACTGTGTCCGGTGAAGCACGAACAGACCCTGTGTCACGAAGGAGAGAAGTTCTTCACTGCAGCACATAAAAGGTGCAAGTTCGATTCCCAGGTGGGGAAGTATATTGAGCCAAGTATTCAAGCCATTCTGCACGGATATTCTGTCCCCGTGGTTTTATGCACAAAAAAAATGAAATTATGCAAACTGAGCCCAAAATGTGAAATTATGCGAGTCAGTTAATTTCAACAAAGAATGATAAAGGAAAATAATCAGAAATTATGCAAAACTTGATCAAATTTTGCTAAATTAAGCAGGGACAGGATATAGTATGATGTATCTCCAACCCTGACCCGGCCAGCAGGGCCCAAGTATCCCGCCTCCTAAATGATTACAATTCTGTCAAAATGAGCCAAAAAAATACAGACGATCATTTAACAATCACAACCATCAATCTCCCACAGCGAAAACACTCAGGACACTTAGGTAAACCTGACAAACATCAAGGGAAACGAGCGGGCGTACACTGGGTAACCTGAGGGAAAACACACGGTTCAGAAAACATATTTTTTTGGTAAGAGTTTTACGGCACTTGCAACGCAATAAGGTCATATAAGTGCCGAAGATTAGAGGTGTTATAAGGGAGTAACAAACACAAAAAAGAAGGAGGGGAGATAAAGACAATAGATGTTTGATAGGAAGGATCAGAAAACATGAAACTGCTGTATATTTGAACAAACTGCAGACGCTTTACAACTAAATAATATTATGAGAGAAAGTGAGCACTTCTTCCCTTTCCTTGAACATAAACCCAATAGCCCCAGGTTGTGGTTTGTTATTTTAGCCACCAGACTGTTAAATGGAATTGAATTATTTGTGAAGCATGCTGACAAAACGAGTTACTTCTCATATTCAAGCCTAAAGGACATAAATACATTATGCTTACAGGTGAAGTTTTCAAAATTTATAGGTATGAAATAATAAATGACAGGTTATCTTATAGTTAAAGAATATGGCATCAAAAGAAAATCTACCAATTTGACCCTAATGCTTTTGGGGGCCAACATGCACTGAAGAAGTGGAAACGGATTGGGCACAACCTGAGGAGACCCCCGACAAGCCTCATCAGACTGGCTTTGCCGTGGAATCCACAAGGAAAACGTAAGAAGGGAAGACCAAAGATGATATGGAGGCAAGCGGTACAAGCAGAAATGGAAAAGGCGGGGACATCATGGAAACAGCTAGAACAGGATGCACAGTACAGGCTTCGCTGGAGAAATGAAGTTGAAGGCCTATGCTCCACAGGGAGTTAAAAAGGGCAAGAGAAAGAGAGAGAGAGATGTACTGTAGAGCATAACAGACTGCAATTTCACGACTTACTACATCTTCTACTTCATCCAACCATAGCTCGACTCTTTGAACCTTCACGGCCTGTGCATCCAAGCTCTCCTGAGACGACTGCTAGATTTACAGTACAGCCCTAAATGACATCAGAGCTACACTTCTCCCTCCGAGACCTAACACTGATAACACACTCTATGGAACATAACAGCAACTGCAGCAAACCTGCATTTATCACTACATGGCATTGAACAGAAGGGCAAGAGGTCAGCTGTTGCAGGATAGATAACAACAACGACAACAACATTAACATCAACAACAGCAACGACTGCTAGATTTACCCCATCGTTCACTGTTTGAGCTGAAAAGAAGCACTTCACGACTCGAAAACAGTCATTTAGTGCGGTGGTAGGGTGAGACAGATAGACAGTAACAACAGACAAATAGTTAACCCTATCGGTACGCCCTGGGGTTGTATTCTTCACATTTTAGAATACTTCTAATACAAAGATCTCTTTGAAACTTTTAGCATTTCTCAAAAAATCATTTTGAAGACTGCTATGCAAAGCCTACGGATCGGATTAACGAGTGAATTTCTTCTTTGGAAAGTTGTGGCACAGAGTTCCCCACGTCGTATTGATATGATAGTAAAACATGACGTATGGATATGGTTAAGAAGCAGTAAAAATGGAACCTTCCACCAGAAGCTCCTGACCTTCCAACCACCCACATTGCAAGCTGAGGTGTGTGCATGGATACAGAGGGTTAAGTACAATATTCAAAACCTATGAGATTAAAATGAAACATTTTTTTTCACCAATCTGGACAAAAATTCTAAAAACCAATCAAGACCGCAGTATCTATCCGGAGACATCTCCAATGGAGATAGACCAATCAAAATGCTTTGTGCTTCTCGACCAATTAAAATATCTGGCGGTGTTAAACGGGGGCATGAGCCCCCATCCCCTTATTTTAACATATAATTTGATATTTTGGAGTTATGTTTGAAATTTTCTTGAACATAATTGATCTGTGACAGTTTTATTGGCTATATATGCGATATCTTTGCTCGCCGGAGAAGTCTCTGAATATCTTCTGCTGTGCCATCAAGACTTTTACCCCCCTTCCCCATCTATTTTATTGTAGAAATGATGCCACTATGCTAATTTCACTCCATGAGATAGGAGAGGACTGTGAAAAATGTTGTTCTTGCATAATGAGGGTATTATTTGTTTGATCTTTGAGCACTATTTTTCACATGTCATAAAAAAACAAACAACAAAGTAATGGTTCCTGGCTAAATAATATCAAGGTAAACTGTAAGAAAAGTCTTCTTAAATACCCCACTCCCACAAACACATAAAGATCTTAACTTCCACTGGAGCGGAGACAAAAATACTGGAGATTTTCACTGAAAAGTAGCAAAAAAGGAACCAACAATATCTTTTACACAACAAAACAGCTTTCGGTAATCCTTTACACAATCTTCAGAGCTGTAAGTTAGCACTGCATAGGCTTTATTCTAAACAAACGCAATCAATGCAATTGTTACGAGGGTTTCAGACAGGACAAAACTGAAAGGAGCATTATACAGCTATCCGAGAACTTGGAACCACCTGGACAATGAACATCCATTCCACAGAGAGCGAGACACTCTGAGAACGCCAGTTATCGAGAACACCTTTATCTTGTTGGGGCCCTTAGATCATCAATTCTCGTATTTTTGCGACTAGCTGGGAACGGGGTGGGAGCATTGGAAGCCAGGTACGGTGAGGGATCAGGCATGGAGGTGGAGAATGCGGAGAAATAATCAGCAGCAAAAGCTATCACATCCTCTGGCTTCCTTAGCAGCAGAAACTGTAGAAAATCCGCTAGCAGGGCCCGTAATTCTGGGTGGTGCCGCATGTACGTCGCGTGATCACCTTTTAACTCCTCCTGTAGGAAAGAACATCAACAGCCAAGGTGTTAGTTTTAGTTATAGTAAGTGTTATACGGCACTTGCAACATAATAAGGTCATATAAGTGCCGAAGATTAGAGGCGTTACAAGACAGTCACAAACACAAAAAAGAAGGAGAGATAAAGACGATAGATGTTTTATAGGAAAGAAAAGGCAAACCACACCAGAGCACCAGCCAACCACCCACAACCGAGGTGTTACATATAATTAACTATGCCATAAAGTCAACTCATGTGCCTTAAATCAAATGATTACCTCTTTATCTATGAGGAGGGGGTAATTAACCGTAAACCCACTATGCCGGGGCCCTCTTTCGGTGCTTAATCTAAAAATGACAAAATGTCACTAAATTAGTCATTAAATCAACACAAGCGAACATATTTTGATAGATCTTTATCTTATGAAAGAAATTCCGATAAAAGAGACCAGTTTTCCGCAATTCCAAACAGTAATTTGATGTTGAAGTCGTCGTAAAGGAATGTGCCCGAACCACTGTCAGCAGCCCACTAGAACAGTGGTTCTGACCGCGAGCCGCTGGGAGCAGCTTGCCGGACATAAAGAGTTAAGTCATGAACTTCTTAAAAAGTAAATAAAAATGGCTGAAAATTGTGGCTGACCACAAATTTAACTACCGGGCACCCTGAAACAATTAAAAAATACTTTTCATCAAAAGGCATGAAATTTACCTATGAGCCTTTACCTGTGAATCTCAAATTGATACAAAAGTTTGAAAATTTACACACTGTCTATCTTTTTATCACTGAAAAAAATTCTAAGAAGGGGAGCAGATCAAAAGGCTGTTTCATAAGTCAATCATTTTCAAACATGTAAAATGTCAATAAAATTCAGAAGAAGACTACAGGAGAAAACTGACTGTAGTCATAAACTGAAAATTGTGTATCAGTTTTGAATGCTTGTTGACTCATACTCATAACTGTATTTCTGTTCAACCGTTCGTTAATTATTGTAGTTAGGATTTCCCATTCAACAACACTTAACAATAAACCACCAGTAAAACAAATATAAAGTTATATGAGTCCACAAGCTTTTAAAATTGGCACCCTGTAAATTTTCAGTTTGTGACTACTGTTGTTTTTCCCCTGTGCCCTTCAGATATATAATCAAACAAAGTTTTTGTCCAAATGTTAAGAAAAAGACTTTGGCCTAAATGGAGGTTGTCTTAACACACACAACTCCTCAAGAGCCCTTTTCAACACTGAGCTCAACATCTTCAAGCTTAGTTTTAGTTTTAGTAAGAGTTTTAAGGGACTTGCAACACAATAAGGTCAAATAAGTACCGAAGATTAAAGGTGTTACAAGAGAGTAACAAACACAAAAATAAAGGAGGGGAGATAAGGACAACAGATGTTTGATAGGAAAAAAGGCACAAACCACACCAGAGCACCCCCCAACCCTACACCTTCGAACTTTTGAATAAGTACAATACTGACAGTCAGAACAGCTATTTTTCTGAATTAAGGGAAAGCTTCTCTGTAATTCCACCTATGGAAAGTCAACAACAAGCTACAATGACCGTGGTTTTGAAAATGTCGCTTCAGAAAAAAAGAAAATCGGGACTTTGACCAGCTCCTCTAGCTGTAATATATGCTGCGAACTGTGCATTTGCACAAACCCTACAGGTGCTTGCTTATTTTCTCGAGTATTTTGTTGAAAGAAAACATTCTGAAATACTGGTTTAGTAAGTGTTTTACAGCACTTGCAACACAATAAGGTCGTATAAGTGCCGAAGATTAGAGGTGTTACAAGAGAGTAACAAACACAAAAAAGGAGATTGGGGGGGGGGGGAGATGCGGACAACAGATGGGTTTGTTTGTTTTATTTTGGTAAGTTTTTACGGCGCTCGCAACTGCATAAGGTCCTATGAGCGTGCGGCAATAGATGTTTGATATGAAAGAATGAGCAAACCACACCAGAGCACCCGCCAACTATCCACAAATCTGAATGGCTTCCGAAGTCGAACTCCTCTACAGTAAAAAGGATATCAGTTAACAGGTTGTTGTTTTTTTCACTAAAAATAGTTACAGCTCCTCAGAGTATGAACATTCTGTGACAAAGGTATACTTTCTGTTCTGTTGTTACAGCTCCTCAGAGTATGAACATTCTGTGACAAAGGTATACTTTCTGTTCTGTTGTTACAGCTCCTCAGAGTATGAACATTCTGTGACAAAGGTATACTTTCTGTTCTGTTGTTACAGCTCCTCAGAGTATGAACATTCTGTGACAAAGGTATACTTTCTGTTCTGTTGTTACAGCACTTTCAACTCAGTTTAGTTTTAGTAAATGTTTTACGGCAACACAAAAACACATATGAGTGCCAAGAGGTGCATGTCAACAGAGAGGTCTTTACAGGGAATCAGACTTACTCTGCTCACCTCTCTAGCTTAAACAGCACAAAGTCTGCTTCGAATATCAAGGCACCCCGGAAATAGTGGGGGATCACAAGAGTGTGACAAACATACAAAAGAAGTAGAGGAAAATGACGATAGTAAGGATTAGGAAAGAAAAAGCAGCAGTTCCCTGTTGTAGTTCAGGCACAGTTTTGAGCATGACATTGTTTAATCAGCCCATTTACAATTCTACTGTGCATACGAACATGTTAATATCCCCCCCTTTGGGAATGGCCGAAAGACACTTCAGTCAATGGCTCCGCCCCGGGGGGGGTTTCATCCTCTTTAGTTACATCCATATTTACAACAGTCAAGAAGCAATATGATTTCATTCTATTCAGATTATCACATGCCCAATTCAAGCAAAAACTTTAGTTGATTTTGTTTTTTTATAAAACTAAAACTAAACGATATATCAAATCAATGTGCTCAAGTCACATGGTATATGGATAATCATCATTACACAAACATACAGAAAAAACAAAACTCGTAGCAGACATTGTGACCCACCTTCCTATCCAGGAATTTAGAATGGAGTTGCATATCTTCCTCCCAGTTCAAGTCTTTTTTCTCAAATACAGGCTTTGGGGTCTCTTCATCTAAACGAACAGGGCACAATGCATTGCATGTCAGAAAAAAAAAACAGCAAAAAAAAAAAGTAGTAATAACAATCAGTGCAGCTACAGTGAACAAATCCAAAAAGAAACTATGTGCAGAGGAATTTTTAAAACACAACTTGGTGATCACTTCATGATATACTGCAGTCATCGCTTTCAAAAACAACACCAACTCAAATCAAACTGAAACAAAGAACATAAAAAAAAAAATAATCATACGTAAACTGATTTTAAAAAACCCACTAAATAAGTAGACATTAACCAGTTTGGTTTTTTTTTCACGATGATGAATAGAAAAGAGGAGCCATCATAGACTGTTGCTACAGAAAAAAAATGTTTCTTAACCCTATCCATACGCCCTGGGGACATTTTGTACCCCCCGGGTTCTATTCTACACATTTTAGAATACTTTTAGTAGGAAGATCTCTTTGAAACTCTCACTATTTCTCAAAAAATGTGTGTGACATAAATACAAAAGAAGTAGAGGAAAAATGACAGTAGTAAGGATTAGGAAAGAAAAAGCAGCAGTTCCCTGTTGCAGTTCAGGCACAGTTATGAGCATAACATTAATGAATCAGCCTATTTACAATTCTACTGTTCATAAGAACATGTTAATGTCCTCCCTTTGTGAATGGCCAAAAGACACTTCAGTCAGTAGCACCTCCCTTCAGTGAAGTGGCATTCGAGAAAAGAGTTAGTTGTGAATATGAAGTCGATTAAAAATATCGACAGAAATACACTTTCCCGTGTTATTGAAAAAACAGAGTGGAATGCTTATATATACAGACATGCAGAATGCACATTAATTTCACTATTCCAAGCAATGAGTCTCAGAGGAGCATGCTTTGGCGGGTGGCGCTGTCATACCATGTCATGAAGAAGGAGCATTTTTTCCATTTTTATATGTGTCACAACGCAGAAGAATCAAGCCCTTGTCAATTTTTGGGCAAGTGGAGTTATTGGTATCATCTGAAAGCTGATTTATTCACCCTGCTTCCAATGAAATAAATATCCATCTATCTTGAATAGAACTCGAGATATTTGTGATTGAAGGAAGTGAGGTCGCACATTGGTGAAATTAGCGAGAAAATGGCTGGCAAAGTTTGGTAAATCCAATAGCTAAAGAGTCTTTGAAAACTGAAAAATTACATATTTTGTGCCTTTAATCAATGTGTTCAGTAAAATTCACATGAAAATGTGTTTTTATATTGACATAAAGGAGGTTGAGCCAAAAAATAAAAATTGGATAAAAATTTCTAAACTGGCGGAAAGATGCCTGTTTCTCCGATTTCAGTATTCTGACGAGCGCCTGATTTCACCATGCTGTTCGTACATCCACATCCACATGTTTGTACCCATATTACACTAGCACGTTCCCTAGGATTCTTCAAAAGAGTCTCAGGAGAGGGATTGGGAGTTGTGAATGGCAAAATTTGATGGCACAGAACTATATCAATAAAGCAATCAAATCACATTTAGGAAAGGCTCTTTACGTGAATTTTCCTCACTTCACCCAGGAGGGAATGGATACCCGGCCATAGACAGTGAAAGACCTTGTCAGTATGTTAGTATTTTAGCGCCTATAAAAGGCCACTTGCACTGTATGCTTCCCAGGAAGTTGAGGTTGTTTCAGAATGCTCTCAGGTCAGCTGGGGTAAAAGTATAGATTGTGAAGCGCATAGAGCTTGCTGTTGAGCGGGGATTTGCGCCATAAAAATGCTATCTATCTATTATCATTATTCAAAGACTCAATGCTCATGACACTGAACACATCAATGACTGCATAAGATATTACAATCCCAAAAATGTTTTCAACTTTAGTTTTTTTAAAGATTTAGTAATAGTATTACGGCACCAGCAACACAATGAGGTCAAATAAGTGCCAAAGATTAGAGGTGTTACAAGAGAGTAAAAAACACAAAAAAGAAGAATGAGAGGTTGGGACGATAGATGATAGATAGGAAAGAAGGAGAAAACCACACCAGAGCACCCGCCAACCACCTGCATGTTTTCAACGTAATATATAGTAATATTATAGTGAACATAAAAGTACACATCTCCGGACTGGTTAGAATGGATGCAGTACAACAAAACTCAAATTATGTGTGTACAATCCAGAGGAAACGATGCTCCAGTGATTTGTTATGAATATAGAAAAGTTATAGGTCCAAAAAAAAGACCCCTTACCTCTCTCTATCCTCATGGGTACCTTGGCCAGCTTCATCGTCACAGGGGAGCCAACTTGCACACGGTTCGTCAAATGACTGAAGAGAACACAGCAAAGGCACATGGTGTTCATGTTAGCCTAAAGAAACCAGTCTGTGTTTTATATATCGTTTGCCAACTATTCAGATGTACTCTGCCCAAAGTCTTGACTTTTTAAGAAATATTGGTTTTTTAATTTGTGGTATTGGGACGCTCAATGTTAAACACAATCAGGAAAGGACAAATGCAGTTTTTGGGACACCTAACTAGACATAAAGGTCTTGAACATCTAGCAAACGAGGCAAGGGTAGGCCCAGAGCAACCTACTTGGGGAACCTAAACAAATGGTCAACAGGGAAAGATCAGGGAAACATAGCTTTTTGGAGAGCATCCGAGCAAAGGAATGAATGGAGAACCACGATCGTCGATGTCTGTCGCAGATCTGGCACTGGATGGTGACGATGATCATTGGATGATGATGATGATGATGATGGTATTGGTTGCATGTGCTGAAGAAGTTTTTTTCGGTAGAAATTCTAACTCTAAATGTTCAAAAAAGCAAGAAAAAGTACATAGTGAAGGTACAATTGTTAAAAGAATGAAAGTTTTTTTTTCTCACTCCTGAAAAATTTTGCTTTCTAGGCTTAAAACAGTAGAACAGCTTGCTGATGATTATTGCTGTACCAACACAGAAAAGAAAGACAAAATATGACCACAAAAGAAAATGAAGCAAGCACACAATTCTGATCTATAGGAAGGTGGGTGAATTTTACTGAAAATCTTTGTTTAAAGGCCCAAAACATATAATTTGCAGTTTTCAAGGACTCTTAAAAGCTATTGAAGTGACCAAACTTTGGCGGCCATTAACCACTGAAACCAGGCTACCCCACCTTCTTCAATCTCAAATATCTAAACTTCTATTCAAGTTAGATGGATATTTTTGTCGTTGAAAGCAATCAAATGAATAAGCTTTCAGATAATATCAATAACTCCACATGCCCAAAAATTGATTTGTGCTTGATTCCACCATGTCGTGACACAAATAGGAAAAGAAGCAGTTTCTGGTCAAACTGGGTCAATATTAGCATTATCCCTGTCAGTTTTGAGGGGCTCAAGCTTACATCAAGAGACTACAACATGTTAGACATTAAATAAATAAAAATTTTGTGAGTCCTTTGAAAAACACAGCTGTATTAATTTGTGCCCCACACACATAAGACTGTATATTCAATGCAACAAAGAAATAGAAGAAAAAGAAAGGAGGGAACAAAGGGAATCAGGGAGAATAAAAAGCAAAAAAATAAAGAACAGGACAAAAAACAAACAAGGGAAAGGAAGACAGAAAGTGAACAGTAAAATGGGACAGATACCTCAAAATGTGAGAAACATTGGGACTAAGGTACTCACCCATCATTCATGAAATATGACTGCCAAGTTGTAGGCAAGTCAAAGGTAGAATGGATGGTTCTCTCAATGCCATAGACTCTCAACTCAACATCTTCCACAGTTTGAGTGCGTCCATCCAGCTTTTTCTGTTCAAATAGAAATTACAAGATTTTTCTCTTTGGTTTTTTGTTGGGGTTTTTTTTTGGGGGGGGGGGGGGGGCACTTGCAACTGCGTACGGTTATATGGCCATGCGGGGCACAGTAAAACATTTTCATTTTCAGTTGGCAGGAAATTTTGAATTTTGCTCGGGTGGAAGCCAAAGCCTACTCTAATTGAGTTTGGACCACCAAGGGATCTTTTACGCGCGCAATTTGCACACAGGACCTCTGAGATTTTTCGCACTTCTCCGAGAAGGCTAGGTATTACATCTTACCTACAATAAGACCAGAGGTGTGGCTGAAAGACAGCAGTAAAAAGGAGCCAAGGAGTAGCAGTAGTAAGGCCGCAGAAAGAGTCAGAAGCCCAGAGGAGAGGGTTAAGGAGGTGAGGAGTGGGGGCAGAAAGTGGAGACGAAAGCAGACGACAGAACATTGCTAGAGAGCAGGAAAGGACCACAAGAGACCCCTAGAGAGTCCGTGACAGAAGCAAAGGGATAAAAGTATGAAACATCTCCATGTCTAATTATTCTTTTTAAAAAATGGACAAACCCTAAATCACAAGTAGACCCATTGCCTTCAAACTAAGATTATCTGGACTTGCTAATGTCTAACAGTTTCCCAGAAACAGTACAGGATGTCCACAGAGTAGACACCAGTGATTCATAATCATTCTTAGGACCTTATTTACTTGACAGCCATCATTTACAATTTCCTACCACCATAATGCAATGACTGAGCCCTTCTGGTGGAAACTTGAATGAGAAATTCAAAATAATACCACATACATCATGTAAAACCCCAAATGAGACAGTGATTACAAATTAAGCCAATGACAAATTTTTTCTTCGTTCAAAAGTACCATCTACCATTTCTCCTTATGGCTTTTGATGGTACTTTTAGTTTGAACTGCATTTCTCTTGAACTTTCAGGTAATTTTCCACCATAACAACATCCAACAAACATCAAATATTAGTATTAAGTATATGTAGTTTACTTTAACATCTGCTACCACTGAAATCAGTACAAGTAAATTTAAAAAATCATCTGAAAGTAGAATTTTCCAGTACTTACATAAACTGCAGGACATAAATTGGTGTCGGAATCAAATGAAATGAACTGTAAATCATGGTCCATAGGTTTCTCTATAAGGAGACGATGAAGCAAAAGATTTGATCCTGTGGAATACATAAAGAGTGACTCAATCAGACCATGGAAAAATACCAGAGTAACTATGAAGAACATTACTTCCAACATGAAACTACGGTACCAAAGTAGGATTTACTTGGTACGGTATCTTAAACATACTCACAATGCAATTGAAAAACAAAAACAGAAAAAGATAATGGAGAAAGAAGTCATCTCTAAAATAGATCAAGAGATTGTCCAATGAGTCACTTTTACGTATTAAAGTTACCAGAATCACCTTGTGTATATTGAAAGCTCTGTTAATACCATCCACTGTTGGATTCCCAAATAAAGTGTTTTTGAACTTGCGACATTTTGGGAGTTTTCAAAGCTCTCAACTATTTACATCCAGTCGCACTGAAGATACTCAAATAAAACTGAAGGGCCAACCTAGCCAATAACACTAAAGAGTTTATAGAGATGTAAAACCGATACCACACGGGGAGGGGGGGGGGAGAGGGCTTTGCAAATATACAGGGACCATTATTATTTTTCCCCGATGTGAATTTCATTTATACAAGTAATCGTTGAGGTTTATTATGAGGATTTCGCACAACAAAGTCTACCTTCTGAAATGAAACCCTTCATTTGGTCCACAGGGATGTTCTTTGTCGTTCTCTGTACATCCTGGAAAAGAAAAAAAAATGAAATTCTGTTAGTCTTTCTTTTCGCTTTTCTTCTCGTTTCATGCCAGGGACCAAAGAAACAGCTCGCTTCCTGATCCAAAAAAAGCAAATCAAAAATCTTGAGAGAGTAATTCTACGGGCCCCAAATTTCGGGGTGACTAGTTTAAACCCTAGATGCCTAGCTCAAGAGTGCTTTCTGATGGCTTATTATTGCTTACATTTCGTATTCATTTGACCCCATATGACTTTCAAATCCCCCCCCCCCTCCAATCCCAAAATGTCATGGTCCTACATTATTGGTAACACTTTCAGTGTAATAAGTAGAGGCTCTTGTGCAAAAGCCATTAGAGATGTTTCCCTGTGTTTAAGTTCAAGAATAGCCGCCAGCAAAAATGTTATACAAATGTGAGGCAGCATGGTGAAATCAGGCGCTTGTCAAAATAACTAAATTTGAGAAACGGCATTTTTCTGCCAGTTTGGAAAAGTTTATCCAATTTGTTTGGCTCAACCCTTTTCCTATCCATATAAAAACAGATTTCCATGTGACTTTTATTGAAGAACATTGCTTAAGGGCACAAAATATGTCATTGTTCAGTGTTGAAGGACTCTTTAGGCTATTAGAGTAACCAAACTTTGGCGGCAGTCTTCTCGCTAATTTCACCACTGACACTAGGCGACCTCACCTCCTTCAATCGCAATTATCTTGACTTCTATTCAAAACAATAGATTTTATTTCATTGGAAGCAAGGCAAATGAATCAGCTTTCAGAAGATACCGCATGTCCCAAAATTGACGAGCGTCCGATTCCACGGTGTCTTGACACAATTTATTCATTGACAACACACAAAAACATGAACCAGTGCTAGGACCCAACAAGATCAATCACACACAAGGGTAGAAAACACTAATGAATAGAAAAAGGGACTCAAAAACAAAAATGACCAAAGAAAAAAAAGAACAATCCTTACCTCCCCTTGAGTAATGACCCGATTTATTGTGTAGCCATCGCTGTGTCTCACCAAAAATGTCTTTCGATCCAGAGGGCAGTTGTCGAGCTGAAATTGAGACGTGAAAGCATCATCATCAGCATGTGTTTCTCAAGATCAGAGCTGATAGAATAAATCTAAAAAAAGAAATCTTTCTTCCAGTAACCTATTCATTTGAAAGAAAGTAAAGAGTTAAAAAACTAGGCAGCATCCATATTAAGTTTTCCTGTCTTAACCCCATTGGACACTGGGAACGTCCGGCGGTAATAACCCTTATCCCCAACGAACGCTGAGAGCGTCCAATACTAGAGACAACTGTTTCATTTTATTTAGTGCCAGTTCTTGCTTGCTTTTTGAAACTATTCCCGAACCAAGTTTTATAGTAATGACTAAGCCTTTGTTTCCACTATCTAGACGTTGGAAGCAAGCTCTTGGGGTTATAATGTGAGACATAGTGCACCAGGTTTAGGTGACTGTAGAAAAAAACTCAGGGAAACGGTGGAAAAAACTCAGGGCTTAAAGAGTTAATCAAAAAGATCATTTTTCGTATGGGTCATGCCTAGTGTGAGTATAATACCAAAAAGATTCAGTCTCAAATTACTTTAATGATCAATACTTTGAAAATAATTTGTTTTTCAAAACATATAGCTTCCCAAGAAAACACACTTTTACAGGAAATCATGAACATTTAACATCCTTTTCCTCAGGAGGTGCTCTCAAAGGCAGGTTCTCTTTATAATTTTTTTATCTGCCCTAAGTAGGCCAGGGAACAAAGATTATCTTCTGCCTCACCATACATTGACTCAGATGTTGAAAGTCTACTTCAACAGAAATTTTTTTTTTTTGTAAGTGTTTTACGGCGCTCGCAAGTGCATAACTTCATATGAGCGCACGGGACACATTTAACATTTTTCAGTTGGTAGGAAATTTTTAATTTTGCCCAGGAGGCGGCCAAAGCCTACTCTTATCGATTTTAGACCACCAAGGGATCTTTAACGTGCGCAACTTGCACACTGGACCTCCGATATTTTTCTCCCTTATCCAAGAAGGCTAGGAGTACATCTTTCCTACCAGAAGATCAGTGCGGCTGAAAGACAGCAGTAAGAAGGCGCCAAGGAGAAACAGTAGAAAGAGTCAGGAGCCCAGAGGATGGGGCAAAGGAGGTGAGGGGTTGGGGCAGGAAGTGGAGACGAAAGCAGATGACAGAACATTGCTAAAGAGCAGGAAAGAGGAAGTGAAAGGAGACAGTTTTAGAGAATAATTTTTTTCCGTCGCTACCTGGATTCGAACCCAGGACCTTTGAATAAGAGACGAACACCGTAACCTCTAGGCCACGAGAGCCCCCACTTAAACAGAATGTATTTGAACCCCGAGCAAGGATCCGGAAACCGCTAAAGCTTAAATTAAGTAATAAAATCTGTGAAAAATTAATGTTTTTAATCAAAATCAAAGTTCTCTAAAAATTTCTGTTCTTTGGACAGGCTTCCAAGGCCCTTTTCTCAGGCACATAAAACAAATATCTGAGCAAATGCAATACAACAGTAAAAAAACATGTTCTCCTTTCCTAATCTTAAACTCAGAATAAAAGGGTACAGAAAAGATTTATCTTTTTCCAACCAAAAGACAAAATTGGACAAAAAGGTATACGACTTTGTCCCTACGGTCATGGGGACACCAATAATTTGTCAATTCGACTATTCACCTTCACATATTCATGGTGCTGCTGCTCCAGAGTTTCCAGACACTTTGAAACATGACACACAATGGAGGTACCGCAGGGGACACCATCAATCGAGCCATGGCTGTTTGCATGGATGAGGAAGCACTCGAGCCCTTTGTAGCGCGTCGGTTCAACTGTGACAGTAAACTCTCCCAGTTCCTTTCCAGCATCAGACACAGTCACAAGGTTGTCGTCAAACATGACATACTTGAAGTCCTCCTCCGGAACTGTCAGAAACAATATATGAACAGCTGGTTAAAACAAAATGACTTCATTACTTCATTACAAAATAGTAGGTAAGTTGGCCACCCTATGTCACAAATGTTCGAATGATAATGCACCATCATATTTATCAAATCTGTCAAGACTGTACATTCCAACTCGCAATTTAAGGTCATCAGCTGACAACAACAAAATTATTGTATCATCTATGAAATTTAAAACAATAGGTGAAAGGGCATTTGAATACCAAAGCCCCAAGATCTGGAATGCTTTACCAAGTGCTTTAAGAGAGATCAAATCTTTTGATTCATTCAAACGTCAGCTGAAGTCATTTCTGTTTTTACATTAATAAGATGAATATTGGGAGTGATTTTCTTTTAGTCAGAACACAACATTTTATGTTACTGTTGTACGTTGTAGTGTATTGTAAAGCGCTCAGAGCCTGTGTACTTTATTCAGGGTTGAGCGTTATACAAATGTCATTCATAAAATTACATTTGTTTTATCCCTCTATTAATCCTGTCTGTACGTCTTGTTTTTTCCCAGTACTAATAAATGACTGTTGTGTTTTTACTGAAACAAGCATATTAGGTGCAAGTTCATTCAAATCTCTCTTTGTGCGGGTGATACAAGACAAGATTTGTAAAATCCTATGACAATGGTAGAAGAAAGGAAGAGGGAGGGGAAGAGGGAGGAGGGGAGGGGAGGAGGGACAGAGAAAGGGGTGGGGTACAGGTTGAGAAAGGTGGAGGAGAATGAGAGGAGTACAAGGCCGCGTTGTGCTGGCAGCAGGTAATAAAGTAAACAAACAGAGGAGTGCAGAAACTGTGACGTCACTCACGGTACAGGGAGGAG